TGAGTGCCTTACATCCTAGCCTCTGTGCTAAGCTGTGGAAAATCTACGAATAAAATACATCCTTGACTTTCTAATTTAGGTGACAAATGACAGTGTTTTTCTCTTCCAATTTAAACAGTTAAAATGTGCACTGCATGGTAAAAGTGCACCTTTCAAATACCATTAGAATGTAAGATTGTCTCCTGCCAACCTAAAGATGGCTCAGGGCCTCAAATACAAAATCATATCTTCAATTAATCACTCGACTGTGGCCACCTTCCTAAGGACAGCTGGGCTTTCAGCTCTGTCCCGGTAGCCAGCAGGGACATTGCCAACAGCTTTTGTAGCTACAGAGGCACTGAGGAAGCCATTTAAGAGGGAAATCAAATTTTGTAGGGACTCCTCCTCACCATGGTTTCCTCCATTGGCGCAAAGCAGTTTTTAATTTCACTGAAGAATTTCTTTAAGAAACAAATTTTCATAATAAAAATACAATCTACATTCAAACAGCCACTTATTCCAAAAAGCTAAGAAAATAAATTCCTGATGAAGAAAAAATGACTTTAAATAACCAAGGAGGATAAGGTAACAAATGACCAGTGGAAAATATCAAAAATAAAAAAGCAATTCCAAAAAAAAGATACAATGGCATAAAAGCATAGTGCCAGGCACTTGTCATGGCTTCAGTTATTCATTTTATAATACATAAGGTTTCCTTTCTTTAAATGCATTCATATTACATTGAGCTTGCTACCACAAGATTGATGTACTACAGTTCTAATTAAAATTCACACCAAGGCCTACCTCTCAACAACAAACATTCAAGCTGAGAAATAAAAGGAAATGAAAGAGTATGTAAGAAAAATGTGCCATTTTCTCACTGACTAAATGATCAATTTTGACTCCCTAGTTATTGAGACAGTCAAACCCTTACATCTATTGTGATGCATTTCCCGTCCACCCACACAGTAAATGCCTCACATTTAGCCTGGTCATAAAGAAGCATCACCTAATTCCACAGCACCATCTGAAATAACAGTCCTATGGTCTAGGCTAAGGAATGACTTCCTAGGTAGAGACGTACACATGCTAAATTCCAAGCCAAGCAAGTATCAAGTGTTCACAGCTGCCTGCTGCATCTGAGAACCTTTTGGACGAGAATGAATAGGTCTGCTGTATGTCTCAGCAAGATCACAAGGAGACCCACACCATTCTAGGGGCAGGGAAAGGAGACAGGCCACGGATACTGTCCCAGTTATGTTAATGCCAAATGACTGGGCTGGGAGAGGGAAAGTCTCCATTTTTCTTTTTTTAACATAACTTTCTGAAATTAAACACTAATGAAGTCATTTAAAACTAAGTTTTGTATGATGTAAGCCATGTGTTAAAGACACTCCTCATGGATGCAAACAGGGTATCATATACTTAGGCTGGGAAGTATTTTCTAAACATATTAGTACCAACTCTATTATATTCTTCCCATGGCATTGCGATTGGAATATAACACAGAAGGGAAAAGAACACATCTTTCTACCACACCTAAGCTAAATCATGTTTATATATAACTTAACATTATCTTTAAGAAGTTTCAACTAGCCCTAGCTGGTTTGGGTCAGGAGCGTCAGCCCTCCCACTGGAGGGTCCCGGGTTCGATTCCGGCGAAGGGCACGTACCTCGGTTGTAGCTTGATCCCCAGCCCTGGTCGGGGCGTGTGCCAGAGGCAACCAATCGATGTGTCTCTTTCTCACGTCGATGTTTTTCTCTCCCCCCTCTCTCTCCCTTCCACTCTCTCTGAAAAGCAATGGAAAAAAATATCTTTGGGTGAGGATTAAAAAATAAAATAAAAATAAAAAGTTTCAACTAGATGGTAGAAAACATATACAAGATTTAAATTCTGAACAATTACGAATTGTTCATCATAAAAAACCATGTCTAGTCTTCTGCCCCTACCCCCAGTCTAAGTAAAAAATTAACCTCACCCACACGACTCCCTAACACAGAGATTGATTTATCTCCTCACTTTTCACCAGTCCTGACATGGTGCCCTCAAGTATTTGTTCAACTAGCTGTTTAAAAAGGGG